TAAGCAGGTATGTCCTGCCTTATATCATACCTTATCAAAACCAACTTAAATATAATGGAAATGATTTCATAAAAAAAAATCACTTATCCTATACTGACAGTACAACACTTGTCCTATACTAACAGTACAACTTAATAGCAATCGATAACTTTTTCATTACGCGAGCGATTTTTATTAATATATTCCATACGCATTTGTTTTAAACTTATTGAGTATCTAACATTTTCAAAGCGTAATTGGCATGCAACAATTATTTTTCAATGCGTAATTGGAAATTTTCTATGCGTATTTTACCCGGATACGCAGCTTATCTGGGCCTCTGCAACAAAATATTGGAATTATCTGTGGATATCTGTATCTTGTACCAAATACAGAATGTATGATGATTATTGTATACTACATGTACTGTGATTACTACAAGCAACACAACCTGTGAATTACTTATGAAACTCTGTATCATGTACTAACTTCTGACTGTATGAAGATGATTGTATTGTGTAACATGTCAACAATATACTTGGGAAATATAAAATATTGAGTAAGTGAGTTTAGTTTTACGCCGCACTCAGCAATGTATGGCGGCAGTCTATAAATAATCGAGTCTGGACCAGACAATCCAGTGATCAACAGCATGAGCATTGATCTGCGCAATTGGGAACCTATGACATATGTCAATTAACCAAGTCAGCGAGCCTGACCACCCGATCCCGTTAGTCGCCTCTTACGGCAAGCGTAGTCACCTTTCGTGCAAGCATGGGTTGCTGAAGACCTATTCTACCCCGGATATTCACGGGTCCCATAATATGAACCTGCAATCTGAACTTACCCTATAAACCTCCAATCTGAGCCCACAGAAAGCACCTTCAGTCTGAACACACATCATGACAAGCCGAGTCTGAAACCCTAACAGGGATAGAAATACCTTTTTTTCTAAGTGTGCCTTAGGGCACCAGACCAATATTTTAGGTGTGCCTTTCAGAAATGGAGTGTGCCCACATGTTTTTAGACTAAATGACAATGATGATGATCATTTGAAATTTATTGTTAAATAAAGAAATGGGTTTATGAGCATTCAAATATGTATGGTATCATTCAATTTGGTAAAAAATAATTGTTTTGGGGATTAAATGACTAAATGTGAGTTATGTCTCTAAAAAGTTAGGCGTGTCAAAAGGGCATGAGAACATTTTTTAGCCGTGCCATTTCTATATTTACCGTGCCATGACACACTAATATATGGGGTATTTCGAACCCTGCCTAATGTGAACCTCGAGTCTCAAACCATAATATGGACCCACAGTCTGAGCCCTCAACATGAGCCTTAAGAATAACCTACAGACTGAAACTACAATCATAACACTCATCATGATCATATCCGTTAACAATGTTATGGGATCACATATCAGTCAGTGAAAACATCGGAAGAAGCATGAATATCATCAGCCATTCCAACAACTTCAGATTATTTAACAAAGAGAAGTACAAAAAGATAACATTTATTCCCTTTTGAGTCCGATCCTAAAACCATATTGCACAAATCGCATGATCCTCACACACATTCACATAATCCTTAAACGCATTCACGTAATCTTCTCATGGATTCAACGGCTCAGACTCACAAATATATCCTACTGACACAGCTACTATAATCTATGTTGAAGTACAGGAATTACGACTATTGTAGCACGGCAATTGCTTTGTGAAATGACCCAGGATAATGAGAAATATGGATCCTTTACAGCACTCTGAGAGCGAAAGTCCCTCACTGTGGTACGAGTTAATAACATATCTTCTCTGTGTGGCCCAACAGACTACCCACAGATAACAGCCATTGGTATCAAGAGCTTTCAAGTGCTCCTCAAACCATGATCCATTAATACACTACGGGATATTTGCATTTGACTCGTCACAATTATCGGCACATATCTGATATGTGTATATCATAATAAGTGTCTGCTATATAACCTGTCCGAGTTCGGAACATACTTTAACAGGGTTTTACGCGATGTCCTTTTGTGCTCCCAGTAAGCACAAATGTAGAGAATGGATGCAGAAAAATATGAACTACAGTCCGAGGGTGTAATAATAATATTCATTATACCTTGAGATAATTATAATCAAGATGTCTGGATGTCTGTTATTTCATCCATTAATGTTGACCACTGACCATTTCATCGCGGATTCATTCTTGGCTCTATAATAATTATTTAAATATTTGATAATTGACAATTTCACTACTTTATAGGACCTTCATATTGCCCGCTAGGACACATCACTCAAACATGTCAAGGTCAACCCTATTCCACAAAGAAACAAAAAAGATATTCATTTAAACTGCAACCTTTACATTGGAAAGATTTGAGTAGATTCGGTTTGGGATTCTTTTGCCATCTGAATTTTCCTGATGGAGAGATGAAGGGGTTTAAAAATAAAGTCAAGATTATTTTGACCTACATATCAACAGCTTGTACCAGTCTGGACTAATGGCTGTTTGATAGTATGAGCCCACTTAGATACCATGCTGCACTTTAACATGGATTCTGCACTTGAAACCAACATACTGACTCAGAGCCAACCAGTAAGTGGTTTATCTGCTTCAGGCAGGGTAACATCAAGTATCTTACTTTATATCATTTTGGGTATGACACAACCTGGATATTAAACCATCGATTTAACATGGACTGATACTGACTCTGAGCCAACCAGTAAGTGGTTTATCTGCTTAATGCCAAGCACCAGGCAGGGTAACATCAAGTATCTTATTTTATATCATTTTGGGTATGACACAACCTGGATATTAAACCATCGATTTAACATGGACTGATACTGACTCTGAGCCAACCAGTAAGTGGTTTATCTGCTTAATGCCAAGCACCAGGCAGGGTAACATCAAGTATCTTATTTTATATCATTTTGGGTATGACACAACCTGGATATTGAACCATCGATTTAACATGGACTGATACTGACTCTGAGCCAACCAGTAAGTGGTTTATCTGCTTAATGCCAAGCACCAGGCAGGGTAACATCAAGTATCTTATTTTATATCATTTTGGGTATGACACAACCTGGATATTGAACCATCGATTTAACATGGATTGATACTGACACTGAGCAAATAGGAAATGCTAGGAAATGTGGCAAGTCTAGATTTCCACAGCTTCAGGAAAAGAAGACAGTCTCAGGGCTCCTTTTCATTATATTTTATTTCTTTTACTATGAGCTTTTTTTTGGGTAAAATATGTTCATTTCAGAGACTAGTTGTGAGTCTATGAACCAACCAATCCTTGTTTCCTTAAACCAAGCACCAGGTAGGGTAATAACAAATACCATCATTTGAAATGACATGGCCAGGGATAAAACCACCACCTTCCTCTCTCTGGAGAGATGCTGTATCCACTAGACCATGGAGAGTTCACATCATTTGCGACTCAGATTGTGTACATTTTCCACAACAATCTTGAAGATGGTCTGCTTATCACCCTTCAGAGTGGGACAACAGAAACATCTTCACCTTAAATTCCATCTGAACTTGGTTTCCCAGACATATTTCATCACTGTCCCTGAGATAGTGAAAAGCTGAACATTCATATACTCAAACTTCAAAAACTCCAATCACCATATATGTATGTCTCTTTTCTTGCACAGAATATTGATTTTTTGGGGGGTAGTTATTAAATCAAATTGCAATTGCTAATCATCATCTAATTACCATGCATTATCATCAATTTTTTTATTCAAAGTTCAGTGGTTTCTCCTTACATATACAAGTATGATAGTGAATAACCCTTCTGGAACTGAGTTAATGAAAATTATTGCCCTTGCAAGTGAGTAAAATTGTGTTTTATTTATACAAATAATAATTGCAAATTTGCCACAATTTATATTTTTTTAAGGTACCTTCATGTAAGGTTGCAAATACTTAAAATTACATTGTACCTCTAACAAACTCTAAGAGTTCATTAAAATTTGTCTCCACATTTGTCTTTTTTCTTTACTTCATCATAACAAGGATTCATTTGCAAACCAAAAGATAAAAATATTGATAGATAAATATACAAACAATAACTTATCATCTTATCAAGATGTTGTTGGAAATATATTCTCACCAGTCAAAGACACACGATTCCAGACTTTCTGGTTCTCATACCAAACATATCATGAGACAGTTTTGTTGATAAACAGATGTCTTGCCACTTTGGCAAAACACGAGCACATAAGTCTACCACTGGAATAGTTCTATGGCGAAAAACATACCCCTTGTCGCATAAACAATAGTACTTTACCATTTCAGATCCACAAGAGAATTCATGCGCCCAAAATTAGCGGCACATACCGCCCCTAAGAATTATTGCAACCGACAAAAGAGTTTATCGTTTACCTCCGCCCCATTGAATTATTTCAACTGACAAGAGAGTTTATCGTTTACCTCCGTATGTACAACGTGTAAGCTTTTAACAAGCACTTTGTCAACAACCAGTGCGCCTTTCAACACGTCATTTGAACTGCGTTGGAATCAGCTGTGAGATCGCATTGTACCTTCACTAGTTACCGTAATCGGATGGTCCTTCCTGTACAATACTGATAATGCCCTTCTTTCAATGTGTGTAACAAAGCGTTGAGAACGCTGTAGAGAAGCACGCGCAGACGATAAAATCACCTTGCTATAAATATCCGTCACGTTTTGCACGCTTTTCATGCTTGCCAAACTGTGTGGCAATACACAAACGAAAACAACAAGAATTCTTGGATTCTACGTACAAAGTATTCCCTGTGTCCAACCGCAACAAATCTGGCTTCAAATGAACCTAGCCCTTATTAACAGCTCTCCCACGTAGCGAATTGGTGGAGCTCTATCAATGTGTGTTACTATTGGGACAGATTTCACTGCATTGGCACCAAGGGGTGAGTACGTCTGCAGATTTCTTCCACGTGTGGCGGAATGGCACGTCTTGCATGAAATAATGACGATTAAAAGCATAAACACCAACAAATCCTACCTTAACTTTTTTGGGATCCTCTGTGTCGACAAGACTCGTTTCCCTGGTATCAGAATTAAGAAACTCAGTTACAATTGTAGTAGGAATGTCCCCAATTGACGCCATATTGTATATAGTCGATAGCCAAATCCAGAACTGACATCTACACCTGAGTATTCATATCAGCTGTAGGCCTATAGTCCTTTTCATAATCACAGTCCCATATCAGTAGTGGGTGCGATACTGCACTGGCGACTTCACTGTCCATTAAGACGAGAAAGTCCTGACACACGCGTGCGAAAGATAACGGTTTTAGGCCACCGGTCACAACCGGCCAACTGGGAGCCCGACTGGAGACAACTTTTGGTAAAAAATGTATGTTAACTTTGCGTGACTTTCCTTGACACTGTCGGTCCTTGAATGATCTGCTGGCGGCTGGTAACGTGATAAAAATCATAACAATGTTAATTATTATATGAACGTAAGCGTATTAGGCCGAAATAATCCATTTTGAAAATGCCGAGCGTGACTGACTTACACTAAACTCCTAACACTGATACAATATCCGACCATGCTTGTGTCCACGTCTTAAGGGTACAACAGACGCATTGCAAACAGCATCTACACGACAATCAGGTGATTGATGATGTGGACTGTAGTCCACCACGTCGGGGTATAGACACATCAAGCCAAACACCGAACCCGATACCCCGATACGCGAAAGGCCTCTTCCAAACGTATGCCTTTGTCGTGTGTTGGGTTTCATTCACAGTGTTATGAATGCATTCTGTTCGAGCTGTGGGGCCGATCCGTGTCAATGAATTGAAATCAAAATCACTCTGACCTACAAGTGTCTTGCTTGTAAACAAATCAATATTCGATCTGCTTCACATATGTGTTGAATAAGGGACTGGTGAATGTTGTTATATGCCATGATCGGCAATATTGAATATCCAGGGATGACGGGTGGCCCAGTTGTTGAAACGTTCGTTCATCACGCGAGAGGTCCGGGTCGATTCCACAGTACAATGTGAAAAGCCCATCTCTGGTGTTCCCCAACTTCTTACTGCTTGAATACTGCTAAAGGCGGCGTAAAACCATACTCATTCACGGTAAATACGCAGCATATGCCAGGGACTGTGGTTCAGCTAAGTTTGAGCGCCGCAGTTGGAAATATTCCAGACACATGACTATGTCCAAGCTATTAATTGTTTGTTGTTAATTGTTTAAAGCCGCACTCAGCAATATACCAGCTACAAGGCGGCGGTGAGTAAATACTCAAGTCTGGGACAGAAAATCCAGTGATCAACAGCATGAGCATCGATCTACGCAGTTGGTCGGATACAATGATATGTGTCAACCAAGTCAGCGAGCTGGACCACCCGATCCCGTTAGTCGCCTCTTACGACAAGCATGGGTTACTGAAGACCAATTCTAACCCGATCTTTATCTTGGCTATTAACTGATGGTTGATTGGACGCCAAACGCACCTTGGTAACAACAATCAGCCATATCTATCACACATTTTGACCTTCCGATCCCCATTTGGTTTTTCTAGGACTACCTGAAGTGCTCTGAACCCATCTCAGCCGGCGGTGGTAGCGTATCCTAGTGGTTAAAGCGTTTGCTCGTCACGCCGACGACTCGGGTTCGATTCCCCACATCGTACAGTGTGGGAAGCCCATTTCATGTCTGTGATATTAGTGGAATATTGCCCAAAGCGGCGTAAAACCTAATTCACTCACTTACTCATCCTGAATACCAACGATGCTTGAGCAAAGGCAAAATATACCGACAGCTTACCCGCTAACATTTCCTCGTCTTGATGGAGCAGTGTCTGTGTTGTTGCAGATGGTATGTGCTTGTTTACTTTCAAAATAGATGCGCAGCATTGCATTTGATCATTACAAGTATCTGTGTAAATATAATCAAATGACATTATGCAGTGTACGAGGGGGCATCTCAAAATTAGGCTATCAATTAAACTGCTCGTTGAAAGGACATTTATATGGAATGTTATTTTTTCTCAACCCATTGCCACTCCGGCTCTCCCGGCGTTTTGCGTTAACAGCATAACATCAAGTTCCTATTGGGCTGAGACGGATAAAGGCGTTCAGAAGCCGGAAATAGTTACTTGCATTTTATGGGTTTGTGTTAATTGTAGGGGTTATATATATACTTGTACATACAAAATTAGCCTTGCTCCAAGGATGAACTGAATGTTGATCCGATGGATGTATAGTAATTCAAAAGGCAAGACTCGATAAGCGGACAAGGAACCCAGTCTGTTATTTATTATTTTTTTTAGAAATTATCATAAGAGACTTGTGTGCAAGTCTAAAACAAAAGTAATATCAGGTTTGTAATGCTGTTTCTGAAATGTGATCGTATGAACGGTATTAACCAGACACTGCACTATCTCCCAACTCTATACATTAATGAGAAGATACTTCCTGTACATTCCGATTGTGATTAAATACACCCCGACTCATCAATTAACAGCGGACTCCAAAACTGACGTTTGCTGCCACGTTTCCTTTAACATCATATCAATGCAGGGGTTAATTTTTTTTTTAAAAGCCACTTGCCCCAGGGTAAATGACTTTAAGAAAGTAACTTGTCCTGACTAATTTTCCACTTGCCCTGATTTTTATGACTAAATCATGATGATGTAATTATGAAAGAATAAATCAACATGGTATTTGATGTATTTGATGTTAATGTTTATCGAGAAGTGATAAATAGCAAAGAAAGATAACTCTTTTTATCATCGATATCATTGTGAAAGTTACTTCATTTTGTTCTCATATCGTGTCAAATTTTAATAGTTACAGTTTGAGCAGAAATGAAATGAAATCCAAGTTTGAAACCGTAAGCAGAAATATTCTAGTTGCCCATGGACAAGTAAGATACCATTATTTGATTGCCCGAAATGAAAACTGACTTGTCCCGGGCGTTGGGCGATGGGATTTTTTAACCCCTCCAATGATACCAGAAAGCATGTTTGATTCTTATTGGAGGAACTGTGAGTGAATGTTGTGTTATGCCGCGACAAACATTAAAAGCGGGATGTTCACACGGGGCAGGGGTGTTGGGGTAGCCTATAGGTTAAAGCGTTCGCTCGTCACGGCGAAGAGCCGGGTTCGATTCCCCACATGGGCACAATGTGTGAAGCCCATTTCTGGTGTCACCCGCCGCGGTATTGCTGGAATATTGCTAAAGGCGGCGTAAAACCATACTCACTCATACGGGACAATCCAGTGACTTAAAGCATGAATAACGATCGTTAATCGGGTTGCGATTACAAACATTAATCGTTATATCGACCGAACAACCTCCCAGCTCCCTGTAACAAAGATTATAAGGTACATAGGACATTTCCAGATATGGTAAACTGGCGCCAATAGACGGCATTTGCAGTCGTGAGGTTTAACGCTGGCAGATCAAGGAAGGCAATCAGACTGGAGATCGGATTCGGAACACAGAAGTGCGGCGCCGTTGACTAAAACCCGTCAGTTAATGCCATGACGTGAACACAAATCGTGAAGATCAGGGTTAGAATTGGTCTTCAGCAACCCATGCTTGTAAGAGGCGACCAACGGGATCATCGCATCCCAATTGCGTAGATCGATGCTCATGATGTTGATCACTGGATTGTCTGGTCAAGACTCGATTATTTACAGACCGCCTCCATATAGCTGAAATATTGCTGAGTGCGGCGTAAAACTAAACTCACTCACTCTCTATTTCCTTGGTGTACTGGTAAATCGATATCATGCACTGCATAGGAAGAAGATTACTATTCGTGATGGCACTGTCAAGTGTTTTCAGAAAAGAGTATAATGCATGCATTTTATCTAGTTCTAAGTTCATGTAGGCAAAGGTCAACGACGTCTGATACACAAGTAGACCGGTAATCAAATATGCAAGCTAATGCGTCTGATGGTAATCTGATCGCTGTAATACAAATCACTGACCACACGTAAGTACTGATCAGAGTGGAAGTAAAGTAAGACGTCTGTAACACTAGGCTCATCCTGTGTTACCTTGACAAACCTATGTGGACGAGTTGGATGTTTTGATTATTGTCGAGCAAGTAGTAAGTGAGTTTAGTTTTACGGCGCTTTAAGCAATATTCCGGCAATATCACGGCGGGGGAGACCAGATATGGGCTTCACAAATTACACCCATGTGGGGAATCGAACCTAGGTCTTCGGCATGACGAGCGAATGCTTTAACCACAAGGCTACCCCTTAACTGTGTTAAGTTAGACATAGGAGAAATGGATGTGGTGACGTCACTTCCGACAAGAAGCTGTGGTTGCGAATCTGTAAGTGATATTTCTCCTAATGGGATGGAAATAAAATCACTGAATTATGTAGGATACCGAGTTTTACTTTTGTGCGACATGATCACAGCCGGGTATCACATTTTGAAGGAGATTCACATGTAGTGCACAGATCTGTGTCGTGTTTTATTGACATGGGTTCGTCCGTATAACGAGGCGTATGAGATTTGCTGTTGGTAACACGTTTAACATGCTTTGAATGGAGCTAAACTTTGGTTGTGCTTTAGTGACAAAATAGCACAACGTAATCACATTATATAGTATTGGTGACACAGTGAGGTCAACATTTCAGAGTGAGTGAATGAATGTTATTTTACACCGCTTTTACTAATATTGCAGCAATAAAACCGAAGGCTCGAAGTCAGTCTGCTGGTCTGACTGGGTATCCATGTTAAACTGGTCGTGGTTTCTCATTGCGCTGGCACTATATTGCCTGCGTAAAATCAGAACTAGTACAAGCAGCCACACGTACGCACGCACACGCGCACGCACGCACACGCGCGCACACACACACACACACACACATCCGACTCTACCAACCGTTCTACAACACACAGTGAGAAGAGGAAAATAGCACGTTGCGTTTCTTATCTAGTTCAGTACACGTTATTTCTTCTTCTAAAGGTAACACCGTCCCACTGACTCAACTATACATAGCCACCCGCAAATAATACACACGACAACGGGAATCGCTGAGAAGCAATGAGATCGAAACCACTGAAGCCTAACGCCTTCACAGATCAATAACATTTGACACTCTGGGCGAAAGACCTGTAATCCTCGGTCGACGCACGTTCTGTATGTGCGAA